CCCCAAAACCCCAAAACCCCAAAGCTTGCTTTCTCTCAAAAATTTATGAAATTATAATTATTATTAATAATTTAGAAACTTACAAGGATCAATCATCGAAGTGATCAATATAGTAAAGAGATTAATTTAAGTTCTCATTACCATTATTACCTACACAATATGTGCAAATACCTTCTGCTGAATTCAGTCCTTTTGTTTTTATTTCTTCTATTCTCTTTTTAAGTTTAGCAGGATTTTTGGTATCCAAAATTAGTTGGTAACTTGCATTAGCTTCCCGCATCACTCTCACACTTTCTTCAATATCATCTATTCTAACTGGATCATAAGAATAGGCTGGTAACCATATCTGATTGCCTGAAAATACTTTAATGTATTCCATTAGCCTATTGAATGAAGCATTATCATTTTCATAAATTCCATTTTACCTATTACCAAACTTAGCAGGGCTGAAATATATAGTTAATGGAAGTCCCAATTGATCATTAATTAGGCTCCCAAGATATATAAGAAAATTAACATTATTTAGACCAGAATCCCGATTATATACTGGCTCTGCATCAATATGGACACTAGCCCAATAGATATTAGATTCCTTATGTATTTCTTAACACTTCTTTAAGTTTGCAAATATTATGTTAGCATCGTCATTAGTTAATACAACATCATTCTAAGTATGAATCGATGCAATATATTTAAACTCTGGTTGCTTTAGAAGTTTTGACAAACCTTCCATCAGAACAGATTTTATAGGTTTACTTTCTTAATGACCAACAACTTTTACAATTATATTTTTGGGAATGATTGGGGCCCAAAGTAATGCATCAGCAATAATTTTGTCAGTACTACTTTCCCCGTCAGGGTAGACGTACATTGAGAGATTGTCTGATGTAATTCTGGTTTTGTATTATTGGCTTTCCATTTTAATTATTGAAATGATAATCACAATTATATAAATATTTTTTTATTATATCAGGCGGGGTTTTGGGGTTTTGGGGTTTTGGGGTT